TAATGAATAATCATCAAAGTTTAAAAGCTGAAATCGATGCTCGACAAGAAAATTTTACTATGTGTATTAATTTAGGTATGTTATTGTTTTAGAACAAACAACATAATCTAAATGGAAATGTTGAACTAATCGAATAGAAATTTGAATTCTTCTGCATCTATTGTAGTTGATTTGAATTACTACAAACCGAATCGATCTTAAGTTTAAGAGTTCTTTCATTTTTCGATTAATTCAAATGGGTAGTAGAAGTTTGATTTTTGAATTAGAATTTTGTGTTCTTTCGAAGTCTATGTTTAGAATTTTTGTTAGACTTATGTTTTTCGTTTTATGAGAGAAACTATGGAAGGTGTGAAAATAAAGTTTGAATCGGTTCAACGAAATGAAAATAAATGAAGCTTAAGCAAAATCGGTATTTCTATGTCAAAACTATGAAATTACTGAAAAACATTATGAAAATAATTTTGTACGGGATACGGTCGCATTCTCTATTGATGCATCTTTTAGTTGCAATTGTCTTTGTTCAAACTGGTTTTCAAAGATTTGCTTATAACTCTCAAAATATAAACATAATAAAAAGTTCGATCCTATATTCGGAAAGAACACAAATTTCTGATTTGAAACCAATATTTTATAGTTTCTATTGGCCATCTTAATCGGTCGAAATATGAAAGAATATTTTGTTTCAAAAACTTCACTCCATCCGTGTTAATGTGTAAAACAAATGAAATACTAAAACATATATCAGTAAATCCTACCATTTACAATAGAAGTAGTTTCATCATGCTTCACATTTTAATCTCACAGCGATAATACAAACAGCTTTTATTATTGAAACAAATTAATATGATATTGATGTATCAGGAAAAAATTGTAAAAAGAAAAAAATCATGAAAAATTTCAACTGATGTAATTTTTTTGTCAACATGATTCTATTCATTTCTAATATGAAAACAAAAATTTTTCTTATTTTTATTTTAATTTTATTTAAATCATTTTAGGCAAAGATTTAATTAATCGTCGTCATGTACGATCATCTGAAGTAAAAGAAAAATGTGTACAATTATCAATGTTACGTGATCGTCTTGAAGATACTTGGCATGAACGTTGGGAATATTTACAAGTTATATTAGAAGTTTATCAATTTGCTCGTGATGCTTCTATAGCTGAAACATGGTTAATTGCTCAAGAATCATATTTAGCTAATGAAGAATTGGGTGACACATTAGATCAAGTTGAAAATTTAATAAAACGTCATGAACAATTTGAAAAATCTTTAATGGCACAAGAAGATCGTTTTAATGCATTACGTAATTTAACAACATTAGAAAAAAAACGACAAATGCCACCAAGTGAACCACGTCAAAGTCGTTTACCAATTTATTTAGAAGAATTTAAAACATGGGAAGAACGTGATGCTGAACGACCTTCAACATCACCAGAGAAATCAACAAAAATCAAATCAACAATTATAGAAGAAAAAACAATAACAGATAGTAGTGGTCGTCCAACAACATTACCAGGTAAACAACGTTCTAGTCAAGAATATGAATCTTTAAGTGGTAAACAACGACGTTCGGAATCTGCAACACGTTTACCAACAATAAAAGAAGGTTTCTTATCACGTAAACATGAATGGGAAGGTCATGAACGTAAAGCAACACATCGTGCATGGGAAAAATTTTATTGTGCATTAACAAGTAATCGTTTATCATTTTATAAAGATCCCAAACATTTAAAAACAGGTCGAACAGTTAGTGATGATCTTATTTTTGATTTATCAACTAATGTATCACAAGCTACTGATTATCGTAAAAAATCAAATGTATTTCGTTTAAAACTTAATGGTGGTAATGAATATTTATTTCATGCTAAAGATGATACTGAAATGAATGACTGGATAACATCAATAAATAATTGTATATCTTCTATAACAACAATACCTAGTACAACAGTCACAACAACAACACAAATGCCATCAATTGCATTAACATCACCACCACCTGCTGTTACTTCATCATCATCATCATCAAGTTCTCCTAAACATCAACAACAACAACAACAACAACCAGTTATGACAACAAGTTCATCAGGTATAAAAAATATAAATTGTATTAGAAAAAAAAAAAGACGAATATTATAATTTAGGTGTAGAAATGATTCAAGCACCAACAAGTACAGAACAAAAATCTCGAACATTACCATTACAAACAAGTACATCAGTTGAATCAAGTTCAACTCAACAAGCAACAAGTGGAAAGAAAAAATCAGGTGGATTCTTTTCAATGAAAAGAAAATAAATAGAGAATGATTTTTGAATTATAACAAAAACAAAACAAACAAATTATTGCAATCCCACCAGAAATAAAAAGAAATATTACATCATATATCCTAGTCAATATTAATATCTCGTTCTATGAGATGATTTTCTATTTAAATAATAAACTCGTTATTTCTTCCATTATTTACCATCATAATAATGTTGCTGTGCTCAGATCTTTTTTTTTTTCTTTTTCTTTGCTTATGTTTTTTTTGCGCATACATATATATATATACATACATATACATATTGAATTTTACATAGTTGTTCTTTAACCCCCATTTATTTCTCAGTAGATTTGAAACATTTAAAAAATAAAGTTAAGAACAAAATCAAGAGAACGATTTCTTTTCCTACTATTGTTGTTTGTTTGTTTGTTGTTGTGTGTGCTGTTTAATGGTGATTTTGGTCTATCTTACTTTCGTTTCTCTCTCTGTCTCTCTCTCTCTTTCTCGTTCTTTTTTTTTTTACATTATTTTTGTTCCTTGAAACTTTCTTTCTCACTTAATGCTCATGTATGGGTGTATTCGTTGTTTCGCTTTTTGCGTTTGTCTCTGTCTCTTTTCTCATTTGGCTAAAATTACATCATCATTACTTTCTAATTAAGAAAAAAAAAAAACCTATATAAAAATACTTAAAAATTTTATTTATCTGAATGGAATCTCCATCATCGAAAGAATAGAATTCAAAGTGATTTTCATAATCTACTTTGTTTTATAGTTTTACTGATTGAATGAGATATGATTTTAATTAATCTTTTACTCTTACAGTAATGTTAGTGTTGAATCAATCATAGAAATAATTAAAATTTGTGTTAATGATTATATCAGTATTTGTGAGAATATTTTTTCACTGTAGAGTTACAAAAAAAAGTCAAAGATGACCAATTCATCTTGAATGATATATAGAAATGTAACATATTGTTAATGTGACTTTTTTAGTCATGCTGTTATTTTATCTCTATGAAGATGGAAACCTACTAATCATGGATTATTATTTTTTTTGAAAAAGGATTCCTGTTGGAAGATGATATATGATAAGATGTTTGCAAAACTGTCTATTTTCAGATTAAAACCGAATCTTTCATGTTCAAGATCATACCAAAGTTGTTAATCTTCATTTTATAATATGAAATTATGGATTCTGATTTTGATTCAATATTTATTCATTGACATTGTTAAGGTCTCATTTAGAACGAAGGTCAAAACAGAAGCTGTAGATGTCTATCTTTTATCAATGAAAATTTATCGGAAACAGCTGTAGAATGCTTTTTGATTGGATATTAGATCTAATAAAAGTGTCGTATTTTCTTTAAAAGTTTACATCGAAAATAAAATAATCATTTTGAAGAAAGGATTTTTCATGATATTCACTAATAAATTGACCGAAAATATCACGAGTTATGAAATCAAACTCGTATATTTTATCTATGGATTGATAAAAAGAAATGTAATTTTTTTCTTCTGAGTTTTTAGCTTATTGGAAGCCTATGCAATGTTCGGTAATCATCTTAGTTCAATACTTTATTACTCCAAATAGTTTCCATAAATGGATCAAAAATAGCCTAACAGGTGTTAAAGAGTAAAAATCATGCTGACAAGAAGAAAATCATATTAATGTCAGACTGAAGTATATATTAATGTTTGTCGTACACCAAAATTGAAACTACTAAAGATAGACGATGCTTTGATCTGTATAATAGTTTCGTGATTTATTACAGGAAAAATAATGAAGATATATCGATGTGTCTAAATGCGTTTGGACAACTGCATAATAATCAAGATGCATGCTGAATAAGAAAAAAAAAATCAATTTACATTTTCTTTTTATCCCACATCAAGGTTCTTATCTCAATAGAGTCATAATCTGTAATTATCATGTTCTTCAACCCAACACGGCACATTCTCTTTTATACTGTTGATTGAGATTATAGTGAAAATCCTTACGACGTTTTTTCTTAATATTCTTTATGTTATGTCTTGTATTGATAATGCTATCAATAGGTAATTGTATTGTGATATTAAGAAATCGACTGATGAATATTCAATCAATGATTTGCAAGCATTAGCTCAACATATTATTCTCATAGATTTGCAAAAAATTTTTTCTACTTGAATATATTCATACAGATAAAATCATCCAGACTATAACCTTGTTCAACAATGTCATTGCAAAAGTAAAAAGAACAAATGATAATAATAATCATAATTTATGTCAACTATAAATAGGATTCAACTAAGTTAATATTTTGCACAAAAATCAATCATTAATCATTCTAGTCATAAGACATTTAAAATGCATAGATGAAAAGAAAAAAAAAAACGAGAACAAGAATTATTTAACAAATAAAATAATATAGATGAAAAGAACGATAAAGATCGACATCTAAATTCTACTAGCGACATCAATAGAAGGGGCCTAATAAAACATAATGATTCGACAAAATTTATCACCCGATTATTATTTATCTAATATTTGATGTGTGTCTACAACAATCTGGCGACATAGTATTCATCCACATCAAATATTTTGTTTCTGTTTTCTTTTTCTTTTTTTTTTATTCTAGTATTTATTATTTTCTCCTCATCAATCTCGAATAAAAACATAGTCGAAATAATAATAATAATAATAATAATAATAATAATAATACATTTTCAATGAATTTCCAACTTAATGATTTTGAATGGAATATGCGCTGTTAGTAAATGAAGATGATGAAGCTAATGAATGTTTATCTTCAGATGAATTTGAATTAAAACCTCGAAATATTTTAAAAACAAATAACGAATCGATATCACGAATTAAAACAAAAACTAAAATGGGTATATCATGTTCATCAATTTTATCTCTATGTCGTAATAAAGCACATAAAACTCAACCACGTAATATTATGATCAGTCGACGTGATCTTAATTCCATTTGGTATCCAAAAAATGTCATTCGAAATCAAAAATATAATATTTTAACATTCATTCCACTTGTTCTTTTTGAACAATTTCGTTTTTTTCTTAACCTTTATTTTCTTGTTATGGCATGTACACAATTTATTCCTATGTTTCGTGTTGGTTATCTATACACATATTGGGGTCCATTAGCTTTTGTTTTATTTGTAACTATGCTACGTGAAGCCTATGATGATATTAAACGTGCATATCGAGATAAAGAACTTAATTCACAAATGTATACATTATTATGTGCTAATGGACGACGAAAAAAAGTTCCAAGTTCACAATTACAAGTATCAGATGTTATTATCATACAAAAAAATCAACGTGTACCAGCTGATGTTGTTCTTTTACAAACATCTGATAAATCAGGTAAATAATTTTTATAGATTTCTTCATTAATAGATTTTGCTTTAGTAAATGTCAATTCGTTAATTTAAAACATCCATGAAATTAATTTTGTTGACTGTTATGTCACGCAACTGCAAAACTATGTTCCTTTTTTTCTTAATTTAATTCAAAGCAATTTCCTATTTTTGTTTTGTATATATACAAAAACGGAATCAATTTCAATGCAAGACCGGAACTGAATGACTGTCATATGAGGAATAGAAAAAACTATTTTTGTTCTCTAGATATACAAGTTTTGATAAGAAATGTTTACTGAAACAAGAATTATAATAACCGTTAGATTTTTTTTTTTTCTTTCCTATGTTTCGAAAAATCTCTGGAGAGTATTAATAATATTCTGATTTCCGTTATCTATATATCCTTCCGAAAAAAAAAAACAAAATTGTATTTATAGATATATATGTTTAGGTACTTGTTTCATTCGTACTGATCAATTAGATGGTGAAACTGATTGGAAATTACGTATCGCTGCTCCAATGACGCAGTCACTTGAAGATTTATCTGTTTTAATATCTGAAACCAGTGCCACAGCTAAAATTCATGCTGAACCTCCTAGTTTAAGTATACATGAATTTAATGGTGTTATATCATGGAAACAAGATGAACCATTAACAGTTGAAAGTGTTCTATGGTCTGGGACTGTTGTTGCAACAGGTGAAGTTGTTTGTTGTGTTGTATATACTGGATCTGATACACGTATGGTTATGAATACAAGTAAACCACGATCAAAAGTTGGTTTACTTGATACTGAAATAAATACGTTAACAAAATTATTATTTGCTGCACTTGTTCTTTTATCTATGGTTATGCTTATATTAAAAGGTTTTCGTGGACCATGGTATAGATATTTAGTACGATTTTTTCTTTTATTCTCATATATGATACCAATAAGTCTTCGTGTTAATCTTGATATGGGCAAAACAGTTTATGCTTGGTTTATACAACGCGATAAAACTATTCCTGATACTGTTGTACGTACCAGTACAATACCGGAAGAATTAGGACGAATTGGTTATCTTCTATCGGATAAAACAGGAACATTAACACAAAATTTAATGATTTTTAAACGTATACATTTGGGTACAGTATCATATACAAATGAAAATCAAACTGAAGTATCGAATTTACTTAAACAACAATTTAAAACAACAACAACACCTATACATGAAAATCAACAATCGATTGCATCAGCATTACCATCTAGTAAAACACGTAATGTTGTTAAAAAAACGGAAGCAACTAAAGTTCCCGAAGCTGTTAAAGCATTAGCTTTATGTCATAATGTAACACCAGTATTTGAAGAAAAAACATCAGCATCATTAGATACATCTGCTCGTTCAGTAGAAGAAAAAAATACCAATCCCATGACAGCTCCTCGAACATCTGTAATAAGACGTAGTGGTGATATTAGTTCATTACCAGATACACCATTAACAGGTGCAACATCATTGAATACTACAGATGCATCAGATCTAACACAATTATTATCACCTACAGGTTAGTTAATATGAAATAGTTTTTTTTTTAATTAGAGTAGGTTTCTTTGTATCTTTCTTAGAAAGATAATTAAACATAAGAAAATAAACTTTTTCTCTATGAAAAGTTTCTAATTTCAATAATCTTTTAGAATCATCAAAAGGTGGACAATAAATTGTAGCTATAATTTAGTTGTAGTTCCGCTTTCAAAGATTTATTATCTCTGTGCTTAAGCTATGACTTTAATGACATCGAGGAAAAAAAAAAAAGAAAATCTTTTTCCGTTTGTTAATGACGGACATAAATACTATGATTTTGCATGATCAACAAAGACTTAAAAAAAAAAAAGAAACTGCTTCCGCATGTGATAATAATCGACAACAAATAGATAACAGCTGACATATCTTGTAATTAACTATTCAATTCAATGTAGTTAAACATTGAATTTGTCATGTTTTAAAGTTGTAAACAAAAAAACAAAAATAATCAATTTGAATTAATTGTATCATAAAGTTATTATTTTTGTTTCATAGATGTAACATATCAAGCATCAAGTCCTGATGAAATAGCTCTAGTCGAATGGACTGAACAAGTTGGTTTAACTCTCGTTCATCGTGATTTACAATCTATGACATTACAATTAAATTCAACTCAACAATTATTTCATTATCAAATTTTACAAATGTTTCCATTTACATCCGAAACAAAACGAATGGGAATAATTATTCGTGATGAACAAACAAATGAAATAATATTCTATTTAAAAGGTGCTGATATTGTTATGCAATCTATTGTTCAATATAATGATTGGTTACAAGAAGAATGTTCAAATATGGCTCGTGAAGGTTTACGTACATTAGTTGTTGCAAAAAAACATTTAACATCTGAACATTATCAAGAATTTGAACAACGTTTAATGAAAGCACGATTACAAACAATTGATCGTAATCGTCGTGTTAATGAAGTTATTGAAACATTAGAACGTGATATGGAATTATTATGTGTAACTGGTGTTGAAGATAAATTACAAGAAAATGTTCGACAAACATTAGAAATTTTACGTAATGCTGGAATTAAAGTATGGATGTTAACTGGTGATAAATTAGAAACAGCAACATGTATTGCTAAAAGTTCGAAATTAATTGGACGTGATCATGATATATATACATTTAAACAAATAACAACAAGAGAAGAATGTTTACAAGAATTAAATATGTTTAGAAGAAAAAATGATGCTTGTTTAATAATAACAGGTGATACATTACAAATATGTTTATCATTTTATGAAAGAGATCTTATGGAATTAATAATTCAATGTCCAGCTGTTGTTGTTTGTCGTTGTTCACCAACACAAAAAGCAAACGTTGTTGATTTATTAAAAAAATATGGAAATCAACGTGTTCGAGTTTGTGCTATTGGTGATGGAGGCAATGATGTTAGTATGATACAAAGTGCTGATGTTGGTGTTGGTATTGTTGGAAAAGAAGGTTAGTTTTGTTTCTTTAGTTTTCTTTTTGATCTTAAAAGAAAATTTCATAAAGTTTTAAATAATTATTTATTTTTAGGTAAACAAGCATCATTAGCAGCTGATTTTTCTATTAATCAATTTTCATATTTATCACGCTTATTACTTGTTCACGGTCGTAATAGTTATAAACGTTCAGCAGCATTATCACAATTTGTCATGCATCGTGGTTTAATTATAAGTGTTATGCAAGCAATATTTTCATCAATATTTTATTTTGCTTCTATATCACTTTATCAAGGATTTTTACTTGTCGGTTATGGAACGGTCTATACAATGTTTCCAGTTTTTTCACTTGTATTAGATAAAGATGTACGATCCGAAATAGCATTACTTTATCCAGAATTATATAAAGAATTATCAAAAGGAAGAAGTTTATCATTTAAAACATTTTTTCTTTGGGTTTTTATTTCAATATATCAAGGTGGAGCAATTATGTATGGATCATTTCTTTTATTTGATGATGATTTTATTCATGTTGTTTCTATTACATTTACTTCATTAATTTTAACAGAATTACTTATGGTTGCACTTACTGTAAGTAGTAGAAAAAAAATGTATTCAACTAAGCAAATGTCATTTAAAAAAAACTTCACGAATATGTCAGATCAATAAATTTGAGTTTTGTTATTTTTTAATAATTAATAAAAATGTAGCATGGTTGTTAATGAACTAGAAATTGTATTCCATAGAAAAAAAAGTGGACTCATGTCACTGTCTGTGACAGACATTTTAATATGTAGTGATCTATAGGGATTAACATTATCTGTCATTTTTTCTCCATTTCTACATGCAAGTTAATATGTTATCATCAAAATTTTCTTTTTATGACTAACACATGCTGATAGTGCATATGGTAATTTAAAGATCGAAAAACATGTTATTGATATCTTTTTGCTTATCAAAAAAATAATTCCATTGGGATTATGCGACAAATTTTTTTTTGTAATATCAAAGTAGACGTTTTGAACATTTTCCTTTAAATATTCTTCATGGTTATAAATTATTGAACTTAAGTCATTCACATAAGTAGAGAATCACTAGATTAGAATAGTCGAAGTAGATATTGGTGCAAGTTGTATCAATTTTTCATATGTAAGCCGATTTTTGCATCGCTTATAATGTCTGATTTGAGTGTCACATTTTATATAGAAGCTCGCTGAATGGAAATCTTTATATGAATAAAATTTGAAAGTATTATTGTGTTTAATAAATTAAGTTCTATACGAACATTCTACTAAAACTTCGATCTCTTAGTCAAAACACAACTGGCATCTCTATTCTCTTAGGATTTTTTCCTAGTTTACAGATTTCTTGCTAGTATGCAAAATTTAATTTAAAATGTTATTGGTCACATGCTGAAGTCTTCTCATGAGACCAGAAAGTAAGAAAAAAAAATATATATATATCAGACTTCAAGAATCTTGAAGAATCGATATTATTTGTTTCTCTTGAATAATCAATTTCCGTTTTCTTTCAAGATGCTTAATTGCCTATATTAGAAATTCTTTATTCTAATGTAATAAAAGCAACTGCTACTATTTTCTGACATATTAATGAGAACGAATGCTTACATAGGAATATACAGATAAACTCAAGGCTCTTCATAACATGCACAGTCCGAAGAACAACATTATCAGTATACATGACAGTGTTTCAGAGATCGATGATTGATTATTACAGTTTCTAGAAGAGAATTAATTTCTTGTAAGATTTATCATACAAAGAATATTTTAATTTCAATAGATTCGAACATGGCATCCATTAATGATTTTGGCCCAATTATTAAGTCTTGCTTGTTATGTTCTTTCATTAATTGTTCTGAAATCCCATTTCGATCCTGAATTTCTTCAATCATGGGATTTTATATGGCGTGTACTTCTTGTTACATTGATATCATGTTTACCACTTTATGTTCTAAAATTTGTTCAAGTGAAATGTAAACCACCCATTCAACAAAAACTCATGCAATATGCCACATTAAAATAAATGAATGAACGATCGATTCATCGATAATGTTTTTTTCTTTTTCTTTTTTTTTTCGTTTTTCTTTTTCTTTATTTGTTTTTTTCTTTCTTTCGTGAGGGATGTGTCGATTTTGTGCGACAGTATTTATTCATTTTTTTTGCGCTTTATCCCGTCTATTCAAAAGCATGTGTGTTACAGTGAAGATAATATAAATATATATATATATAATGAAGGAGAAGGTTAAAAAAAATCTGTCAATCTATTGTTATTTCATATATTCCAGATAAATGGATGATGTATCACCATTTGATTATCTTTCATTTATTTCTACAATAATTATATGTATAACATTTTCTATTGCATATGTATTGGGTTTGTATATTTTATCTCCATCATCACGTCGATATGAACGTAATCATCCACATGTGATTAGAAGAAGATTTTTTGCTGTTTTTATTGTTTGTTCATTAATTTATTTATTTTTAAAACATACATGTAATCCAAATATAAATATACATACATGGTTAGGCTTTCGAACAAATATTTCATCAATATGGATATTGTTTTTCTATCCAACTATACTAACATTAATGTTATATTTGGGTCCAATTATACAGTGGATAGATTTATTTGATTGGAGATATTATATTTACAATTGGAACAGGTTTTTATTATGCCACACTGCAAATGAACAACTTATATTTATTCGAAATTATTTTGTTGCACCATTTACAGAAGGTAAATATGAAACTGATGTAAACAAGTTTAATTAGGAGTATATCAAGTCGGCGCTGAGAAAGTTCCCAATCTTGTTTTCTTTGTTTACCAAGTTCCATTTCAATTGTCGTGAACCCTACTTGCTCAATAGTCGATCCTTTCCCTTTCCTCCCGTCCCAACAAAAAAAGTTTCAATCTGAAATAGATACTCAGTTGATCATATATGAAAAGTCTTTGTACTTAAATTATAGAATAGTAGTCTAGATTTTCAGTAGCAAATTAAAATAACCATTTGAATTTATCATCAAGTAAGAGCTTGCATTTGAAGTCAGACAATAGTATAAAGTTGATTATTTAACCATAGAATCACATAAAGCTGAACTTCTTTTCTTGCAAGAAAATTTCAACGAAGTAAGCTAGATTAAAAAAATGCTTACCGGCGATCAACATATCGCTGAAAGCTCTTTCAAGTCACTTATGACAACCGAACAGGCCCATACATAATCACCTATCGGCATGCTTAGAATTTCAATGTTGCATAGCAGCTGATAAGCATTATAATATGACGACATTAAAGCGCTGCATGTCATTTGAAAGAGCTTTCAGCAATATTTTAAGTACTCATGGGCACTTAATTACGTTCTAAGCACGTATAGCTGGCTCAAAATATGTGTTGTCAAGTGTTTATTTCGCTTCATAATTGAAAATCAAGCTATTCTAATCTAACTTATTTCGTTGAAATTTTCACATGAGTTTATCAATGTTAGTGAGAATTTTTTTTGAACCCAACAACCATTTTTTTTTTATTCTCGGAAGATTTTCAATTCGATGACAAGCGTCTTAAATTCATAGCACAAGATTGACGATTTAACATTTTAGACAATTATTGTCGATGAAAGTATTTTCTTTGAATATTCTTAAAAAGAAATCAAGTAACATTTTGTTTTTATGAGATCTTCAAATAAGGTTTTTAATTATTTGAATCGAAAATCTATTGTTTTTCATATGTGAAATCGATCATGATTTATCTAGTATGGTGATCGTAAAGATGACGCTTCTTAAGGATCAAATTCGCTCTGTCGGAGTTCTAAACTGCTTCTTTAGAGAAAAACATGAATAAAACATTGGGGATCTTTAGAAGTAAACTGTTGGATATGTCATTCTTTTTTTCCAAAAATTCTATTAATTATTTAAAACACAATTCAATTAGCATTATTTAAGTCAGTTCTTTTAGACCTATGCATTGAAATTCTTTTGTTGACAGTTTGAGATACGGTTCACATTTCATACTGTCATTTAATTTACATAGATTGTGTTTTCTTTATTTTATTTTATTTTTAGAGTTTGTGTTCCGTTCATCAATTTTATGTTTACTTTATTCTCATGTATCATTATTTTCGGCGATATTTCTTTCACCATTATTTTTTGGTCTTGCACATTTTCATCATATGCTTGAACATTTTAAACAAAATCATCGTGAACAACATAATCGATTATCAGCAATGACTATTATACTTATTCATCTTTTTCAATTTTCTTATACATATGTATTTGGTGTTTATTCATCATTTCTTTTTATTCGTACAGGTCATTTTATACCATCTTTTATTATACATACATTGTGTAATAGTCTTGGTATACCTGATTTTATGAATCTGATTGATATGAACAATGGTGAAAGAAAACGAAAATTAATTTATATGATTTGTTATATTATGGGTTTATGGTTATTTTCAACGAATTTATATACCTATACTCAATCAAATTTTTATTATTCGAATGATAGTAGTACTATTATCTATCGACATTGGTCTAGTTGAACTGTGATGTTTATTATGCTCAAAAAAAAACACAACAATAAAATTAATGAATATTAGAGAAGCAATCATTTTTTTTAGTTTCTTTTTTTCTAATTTCAATCTCGTCGGGCATGTCAGGTGCTTTGTCATTTTATCCACCGTCTCTTGTCTTTATGTGATTTTTATAGAATTGTGACCAAAAAATATCAATAGAATAAAAGATACATAAATCTAATACTGTTAAAATAAAAATAATTTTCGAATTGCTATATTTATATAGGAATGATTTTTAGTGTGTTTGATATTAATAAATAAAAATAAATTGCAGAAATAGATTTAATATTGGTAGTATTTTTAGCGATAGGAAAAAAACGATCTTCAAAATCGCTGTATAATATCGGCTATTCGAAACACAAATAAAAGTTTATTTTGAAGAATGGTTGAATAGAGTTCGTCTGGTTATCTATAAAAATATTGTTTTTCTTTTTAAATTCAGGCGAGTATTTTATAGTGAAACTTAGGAAAGATAGGCTTTAAAAAAATGTCAGAAAAGCCAATTCAAGTGGAAATACATCAAACACATTAAGTCTGGGTAACCTCAATATTCGCCTAAAGTTGTTTCGATTTGACCATCGAATATTTGGGAAAAAAGTATTATTTAATTATTGAGAAAATCAATTTCTTCGACATGACAGCATAAAAGTCATAAAAATGGGTACATATACAGAGATTTTCATGATCAGAACTCCAGTTTCAAAGGAAGCCAACATTATATTGAGAATAATCACAGAAGTCTGCATCGAATACTTTACTTTATGTTCAAAACTAATTTTCGTTGAAATTCAGGCTTTACATTTTTCTTCACTGTTATTTTACAATAATCTGACATGTGGATCTGTTGCATCAAGAAATGAGCAATAAACCGATTTTAAACCAATAATAAAATAACTATAGAAATCACTAGAACACTCACACATAGACTTATTAAAAACACATATAATCCAAAGTGTGAAGTCAAAGTTGAAAACGTCAAAGTTGTCAACTAATTAATGTTTCTTCTTATAAAGCTCTGTTTTATAACAAAAACTGAAAATAACCATACACTTATGTTAATCCTCTTCCAATAGAAAATAACACAATAGTTTCGTAAGGGTCTGATTTTTACAGTTTACTTGATTTTTAATAGCATTCACATTAATAATAGGAGAAAAAATATTCCATTCCTTTTAAGCAAAATCTTTATTTTTACATAAAATATCTTCATAGACTCTATGATTGCATTTCATACACAAAAAAAAGTTTAACATAGTTAACGACAGATTCTTTTCATCAGTTAAGAAAAATTGTATTCGAATCATTTTCAGCCGTGACTGATTGATATTCGGCTTATATAAGAATGCTTTTTTGCAGCTATCTGTGTTTATTATGCAAATCATATGGATTCTACCACTTATTGCAATGTAAAATCAGCTCACATGTATTTTTGTTGTCCAAATATTAATCAGTTCCAGTTTTCATTGGATGATCGATTTTAATCCGACTAATTATATAATTTGTGTTTCTGTACTAAGTTCTACTGAGTCTTATTTTATAATTACTAATCAGCGTTAATGTTAGGTATATATCAGAACCAATTGTTCATTTGTGAACTAGTTAATCGGTATGCAATGAACGAAGACTGATGCATAGATATTGTCACTGTTATAGAACACTACTTTACGGCCGATATTTTAGTGGTCGTATGCATGACAAGTGGCTGTTTTATGCAATATATCCATTTGGTTTATAGTACCTAGATAACAGTGATTTTAATAAT